CTGGTCTCCAACTCACAGAGATCCACCTGCCTCTGTCTCCCAAGTGCTGGGACTAAAGGTGTGTGCTACCACCTCCCAGCAAGAATTCATTATTTTTATGCTATTTTTCTATGACCATATATACCCATTTTTCTTTTCTTTCTTTAGTATCTAATCACATTTTTAAGTATAGTATATCTGTTTAGATGTTTTCTCAGTCTGGGCCTGATTTCTTGCTCATCCACAGCTTTCTTTGACCACGTGAGCCAAACCTTAAAGTGCTAAGTGGTTTCTAGGCTCTCCTCTGTGTGGCTCTTCTTAGCCACACGGCCTGGCATCTGACTCCCCCTCCTTCAGGTAGGTTAAAGAGGAACCTCATGCCTGTGGGCCCAGCCTGGAGCCAGTCTATCCACCCAAGCTCCAGTAGACATTTCTACCTAGTCTCCTGCCACTGAGTCGCATGCTGACCACTTCCCCCACACTCATAAACCCAATTTAAGTCAATTTAAAGAACCATGCCTCTACGTGCCACAAGGACTCAGATTACTTGGGAGTTTTTTTTTCAGCTTTTTCAAGCCCTATGTGGATTTACATGCTGTGTTTGGCAGCAAGCTTTCTTGTCAGACTATATTTAGATCACCAGCTACCAAATAGCAACACAGAGACTTACTATTAATTATGAAAGCTTGACTTTAGCTTAGGCTTGTCCCCAACTAGCTCTTATAACTCAAATTAACCTGTTTCTATTAATCTGTGTTCTGCCTCTTGGCTGGGTTATCTCTGCTCTATACTGTATGTCCAACTTCTTCATAGTCTCCTGGCATCCCTCTGGTGTAATCTACACACCTAGATTCCTCCTCCCAATTTCTCTCTTTCTGCCCAGAAGTTCTGCCTATTCTCACCTGCCTAGCTATTAGCCATTTAGCTCTTTATTAAACCAAGCAGAAGGTGCCTTTGGCAGAGACACATGTTTACAGTGTAAACAAATATTCTGAAACATCATTAATTATCAAATTGTTAATGCTTTTGTTAAATACTCAGAAAAATTATAAAAATTTTTGCTAGACAAATTAACTTAAAATGTTAGTTTTAGGATTGGTCCATATGTAGAGATAATGTTACTTGACTTCTGGGCTCTTGACCATATGAAATGTGAAAAGATTTTGTCAATGTTGAGATGGACTACTTCTCTATTGGCATAGTTACTAATATGTAGCACATTTTGATGTAAATAATGTTATTTGATTGGCTTTTGTATTTAATTTTGTATCTATGTACACTGTAAAATCATTAAGATAAATCTGGTTCTAGCCACAAAAATGCAATGTTATATTCAGGGTCTCTTTTCTTTCTCTCTGTCTTTCTTTCTTTCTTTTTTTAATTTTTCGAGACAGGGTTTCTCTGTATTGTTTTGAAGGCTGTTCTGGAACTCACTCTGTAGACCAGGCTGGCCATGAACTCACAGAAATCCACCTGCTTCTGCCTCCCGAGTGCTGGGATTAAAGGCATGCGCCACCAAGGCCCGGCCAGTGTCTCTTTTCATAGGATCATTAAACTCCATCTTTTTATTTGCAACAGAAAATGTTCTTGTACTATATGCAACATAATTCTATATAACTCTTGGCAGAGACAACATGATGAAATGTTGCTAACTTCTTGTTCATTTTTTCAATATTTCAGATATTTTAATGAATATATAATGAGTATATCTATTAATGGCATTCATAATTTGTCTGGAGTATAGATATGTGTATAAGTGTTATCATAGTTGTGAGTGTCCCTTCATAGTTGCCACATGATACAAGCTAGAGGAAAGAGAGCCTCTTTTCTTTAGAGTTATGGTCCTTGGAGGTCAGCTATGCTTCTGTGGTTGGCCCCATACCCACAAGTCAATGGACAGCACAAATTAGACTCCATAAGCTTTTTTAAAATAGAAGAATGTGGTGCATATGATCAAATACATGGTTTGCTTGTATAAAATTATCAAAAATTAGTAAAATATGCTTAAAATCTAAAAAGATATTAAATTAGAAAGGGCAGGTTGAGAAGAGAAGAGGTTAGCTAGAAGAGAGGAGAGATGGAAGGTAAGGTAGTAAATATGATTGAAATGTGTTATATTCATGTATGAAAATTCCCTTGAAAATACATTATTATATATGTAGCACATACTAATAAAATTGCTTAAAATGTAAACCTTATGAGAAATATTTATAAGCAGTTATGTTCATCATAACCAAAATATTATTTATAAAGGTTGATGGGTATATTAGTGCTTTATATTCACAGCAATTACACTTTCTTTAAAATGATGATTATACCAGGTGTGGTGGTATAGTCCTTAATCCCAGTACCTGGCAAGCAGAGGCAGGCAGATCTCTGTGAGTTCAAGGAAACCAATTCTATTCAACATAGTTCCAGGCCAGTTAAAATTACATAGTGAGACCAAGTCTAAAACAAAACAAAAGTTGATTTACTTTTAGTAAAATAGGAAATAGCTAAATTTAAAAGGCAGGAATTTAATGCCTGTGGTTCCTCTTAATTGTGTGTGGCTTTTAACATTTATGTTTGGGCTAAAGCCCTTTAACAGCTTCATAGCTCTAGTTAGATGGGACTATCACATATGTGAGATACACTTATACACTGGGTAATAAATCTGTTTATGATATGTTTGGTTTTGAACTGGGAGCTAATTCAGCCTCACCCACTTTCCACCACTCTTTCTTATAGCCCCTGTAAAGGAAATGTCAATCCTGCTACAGAGAACCTGTGTGTGAATTTCTGTCCCTTCTAACAGACTTGCCAGGTGCCTGAATTCCAGGACAATGGCACACACCATTCTCATTTCCCCAAGGCAATTTACAGACTCAGGCCACAGACTCCAGGACATCAGAGGGCTGCCAATATATTATACAACTCAACTGGGTGTGAAGCTCTTCCTCATTGCCTACATCCTCAGAGTGGCACACTCCCTCCCCACCATGAAGACCCCTGCTGTGGGCTAAATCACTTCTCTGTCAGGAAACTTTCAACTTCTGCTGAGACCTGATAGGAAAGGACCCCACTTTGTTCCCAAGGCCTGAGCTCTCATCAGAGCCCCTTCTGAGCTACACCTTTCTGTCTATCTATAATGTTAGTAATTCTCATAATAAATCTCTTACTGATAATGACAATCCCATGCCCCCATTTGTAGGAAGTTATGGCCTACTGGGCTGAGAGATGAGCCAAATGAGTTTGACACTTGCTGTCAGCGGGCCTGACCCTGCCCAGGCAATGAGGGGCGACTACACAACGTCAAGGGATCAGAACGCCTGGTTGCTGGGAGAGTATATAATAAGTTTGTATTTGTTGCTAAATAAGGAGTCGGCCGTTGTCCTTTCACCTGACTCCCAAGGTCTGTGCTATAGTTAATCTTGCACCTTCTCACCCCTCCCCCGAGGGAGCCCTTAGGACCACAACACCCACTGAACTCCAAATCTGAAAACTTTCATGGTCATCAATTTTTGTTTTGTTTTGTTTTGTTTTATATGTTTTTTGAGACAGGGTTTCTCTGTATTGTTTTGGAGGCTGTCCTGGAACTCACTCTGTAGACCAGGCTGGCCTCGAACTCACAGAGAGCCTGCTGAGTGCTGGGATTACAGGCGTGTACCACCAATACCCGGCTCATCAATATTATTTTTAAAAACATCATAAGATATTTTAAAATGTAAATTTATCTAGGGGATTTTTGTGGTAAAAATCTGATGCATCAGTATAAAATTCAAACCTAATTCTTATGTCTGAAGCAGCAAGGCTTTCTGACAGTTAATGTTCTGCCCTTAGTGACATTTTCAAAATGTATTAGCTTTCAGGGCAAGACCTGATGCTTTGTCTTGTTCTTAAGTTTATAATTTCTGATGATTTCCTCAGAGCTTTGGGTATTGTCTTATTGACCACAGCAACTCTTCAAAGGAAAGCATTTAATTGAGTTGTCTCATCTACAGTTTCAGAAATTGAGTCCGTTATCATCATGACAGGAAGCATGGCACCATACAGGTACATGTGGTGCTGGAGTCTTGGCTGGGCTGAACTCACTCTGTAGACCAGGTTGGCCTAGAACTCATAGAGATCCTCCTGCTTCTGCCTCCCAAGTGCTGAAATTAAAGGCTTATGCCACCACTATCCAAATGTTAGAATACTCCCAACTGGATAAAATTTTGTTCACATAAAAAGACTGCAGCCTTCTCTGAACTCAATCGGCTAAAGTCTTAAGTAACCAACCCCTTCGATTTTCGTTATGATTATTATTTAAAAACTAGCAAATCGCCGGGTGTTGGTGGCGCATCCCTTATTTCTGTGTTCCTTTGTGAGATTATTCTGTTTGTCTAGTAATCGGCAGCACAAAAATGAACAACAAACCAGTGGATAATTACATATTCTTTAAACCAAGAGGTTCCCATTAGCCAGTTCAGTTTACTCTATCGTGCTAGAGTAAAAGTTGATACACATCCTTTTCAGTACAGACACGCGGGAACAGACGGACACACACACACACACACACACACACACACACACACAGGAGGCAATTGAAAGAAACTGACTTTTTTGTTGTTTGGTTGTTTGTTTGTGACAGGGATTCTCTATGTATCTGGCTATCCTGGAACTCGCTCTGCAGACTAAGCTGGCCTCGAACTCAGAGATCCACCTGCCTTGGCTTCCCGAGTGCTGTGATTAAAGGTGTGCACCACCGCCGCCTGGTGGACTGACAATTTTAAAAGGGCAAATGCTGTGCACCCAGAAGTCCATTTATCAACACCGTCAACCGGTTCCCAAAGGTTATTCACTTCTTGTAAACTCTGAGTCTTTCGCGGGGTGAAGAGCTAACTGCCTGGGGACAAGGAACTGAAGATGTCAACTGACTCGCAGCGCGTGTGCAGGGGTCGGTGCCTGCGGTTACCGAGACTGTAAAGCCGGATGCAAACTGTCCCGGAACCAAAAGCGGGCGGTGAGGGGTTGGTCCGCCCGGGTTCGGGGAGGCGCCAGCATCCCTAGCGGCGCTCGGCTCCGCCCTCCACTCGCCTCCACAGTCATAGTCCCGGGCCGGCGTGTCGGCGTGTGTGGTAATGCGGCTCTTTCTAGGTGAGAGGAGATAACCGCGTCCTGTCCTTGGCCTGAGCGATGCTGAGAAGCTGCGCTGCGCGCCTGCGCACTCTTGGGGCTCTGCCTGCGAGGCGACCCGGACTGGTGTGGGTGAGTCTTGGGACTCCGCGGCGGGTGAGCGCAGGGAGACAGCAGGGCTGAAGCTAAGCTAACACCGACCCTTGGCTGTAACGGGGAGCAGGGGCTCTTCAGCCTTGAGATTCGAATCTGGAGGAACCGGAAGGGAACATAACTCAAGGTTGAAATAGGTCAGCAGGGATTGGACCGCCACTGCTACTGAGATAATAAGAAAGGTTTACAAGGTCACCCAGCAAACCCGAGAAAGAGTCAGCCATTACAGACCCCTGGAGAAGAGCACTTATCTTTCCAGGTATCTAATCCTGATGGTCTCTGACTCCTTATAACCAACTTGGGAAGAGGCTTCTAACTGTCAGATGATCAATTACGCCCTCTCTGACCCATTATCATCATCTTAGAGGATAAGATTAAATGAGATAATGCAAGGGAAGCGTTTAGCATGCCTGGGATGTAAGTCTTAACTAATTCTCTGCCCTTATTTGCATCCCTACTTTGTTGTATTGATGTAGTCTGTACTTTTTGAGCTCCAACTATATTCCAGGCATCATTGCCCATTGATGGTAAGTAAGACATACTACTGTTAGAAAAGGAAAAAGAAACTTTCCTCCAAAGGAATTAGCTTGGGAGAATGGGGTTAGTTTGCCAAATTCAAAGCCTGTATTCTTTATGTTATAACAAATGACTAAGGAACAACAGAGAACCGCTCTGTTTTGAGCAAGAACCAAAAGAGAACTTTGGTTATTAGGTGACTGTGGCATCTCTCTCAAGCTATTGCAGCTTCCTGGCAGACGGTAAGTGAGGGCTGGAGGTATAGCTCAATGGTGGACACACAATTTGAAAAGAATAATGAATGTAGACTCATTACTAATTAGGTACCATCTTGCCCACTAGAAAAGGAAATGCATTGTGCTAATCTTACAACCACAAATATGGATTCGTTTCTTTAATTACGTGTTGGTGCCTGGCAGTCTGTGCTGAATACAACGGAACATTAGTATTTACAGGCTTTCTGTCTTTAAGGAGGCATAAAAGTCATAACTTCTCTTATAACTCCAGTTCTCATAAATGTATAACTAAAGATCAAGCATGACCTTTCCTCTACTAAGAACAAAGGGTAATGATTACCCCTAGGATTCATCCTTCATTCACAACTGTACTGCGAATTTACAAGTGCATTTACTGCAGGTAGCTCTTAGTTCTCGCCTCTTTGAACTGAAAATTGAGTTGCTTTTATTTCCCACCACATTGTCCATGTAACGTAACTCAACATGCCTCACACTAAGATTAGTAGTTCCACTCTCGTTCTCTCTGATCCACACTTTCACTCGAACAGACATCTTTTCCTTGTAACCATGCCATCAAAGCCACAACTCTGGAATCATCAAGGACTCTTGTGCTTGCTTTCTCTTTCCTGAAGTTAGTAATTCCCCATTTCCCTGGGTTCTACTACTGAATGTCACTTAACCCTTTTCTTCTTACTCCTCCATTCCTAGTTCAGCCTTGGACCACATCTAACGTAGACCTTTCAACAGTCTTTGGCCCCTTCCCTTTTTCCTCACCATTTTAACTCATCATTTTTCACACTCAAGTATCACTTTCATGATTTTTTTCACATGGTCCTTTCCATTAAAAAAAAAGAAAAAAATATTTTTAAAATTTCTGTGTGTTGCCTCATGTATGTCTGTATACTATGTGTGGCAGTGCCTACAGAGGCCAGAAGAAGTTGTTGGCTCTCCTGGGACTGGAGTTACAGATGTTGTGAGGCCTTGTGGGTGCTGGAAATTAAACCTGCATTCCCTGGAAGAAAACCCCATGTTCTTAACCACTGAACCATGATTGCCTCTTTAAATAGCTTCGTCCTAAGTAAAGACATTTGTGTTGTAACAAGTGTGATATGCTACTCATGTCTTTCAAATTATATAGATATATAATGTAAAGGATTTTATTATCTCTGTAATTATATATTATGTTGTTCGTAATATTTAAACACCCATCTATCTTTGTCCTTGTGCTACCTTAAATCACCTTGCACACAATTTTTTTAAACAGTCCATTGAACTAGAAGGTTAAACTTAAGACCTATGCTGTGTTCCCTCTTCTGTTTTGTCAGCCATATCTTGCGGTGCCTATTTTCTCTGCACTTTCAATCCGTGAAGTCTGAGATCCTAGCAATTCTCCAGTGTGTCATGTGGTCATTTTATACTCTTGTGTCTTTGCTGAGTGTAACCCTGGTTCTCACTTTCATGAACTTTAGTTGCAAGAAATCCCTCTGGGTTTTTTTTGTTGGTGTGTGTTTGTTGTTTGTAAGTGTTGCCTGAGAGCACTTGTGTCTCTGTCTGTAGAGATACTTCCCATATCTGAGGCTGCTAACACTTAAGGCAGGGTCTAGGTCTTTTATTTTTTTCTTTCCTGACCCTAGTATAAAAACAGGGCACATAATAGAACTCAAGAAAATATATTGGATTTTATTTAAAAGTTAAAATCAGACTGGGTGTGGTAGAGCATACCTTTAAATTCCAGCACTCGGGAAGCAGAAGTCGGAGTTCCTGGCTGGCTCATTCTCCATAGTGAGTTCCAGAACAACTACATAGTGAGATCTGTCTCAAAAAAAAAAGTTTAAACTAGGTAGGAGGGCCCGGGGAGTCATTCTGATAGTCTTCAATTAGCCCATAAAAGGATGTTACAAGCTGGGAGTGCTTATTTAAGAGATCTGACTGGGGCCAAGACACTGTGAGGATACCATGACCAAGGCAACTTACAGAAGGAGTATATTTGGTGCTTATACCTTCAGAGGGCGAGTCCATGAACATCATGGTAGGGAGCATGGTGGCAGCAGGCAGGCACGGTGCTGCAGCAGTAACTGAGACCTTACATCCTTATCTACAAGTAAGAGGCAAAGAGAGTTAACTGGGAATGGCATGAGCTTTAAAAGTCTCAAAGTCCTCTCCCAGTGACACACCTCCTCCAATAAGACCATACCTTCTAATCTTTCCCTAATAGTTAAACCAGCTGAGAACCAAATATTAAAATACATGAGCCTGTAGGGTCCATTCTCATCCAAACAGCCAAGCTCAACCCAAGCAGACACATCCACATACACCATACATACATACACATGGTGATACTAAGACTAAGAACATGAGAAAGTGAATACTAAATAATTTTAAATGGCAGCACCAAAAAAGTTATTCTCAGATTATGAAGTGTATTTAAGAAAATTATATTCGAAGAACTTGGGGGATGTATCAGAAAGGCAATATCAAGAGCTCTCACTCATACATGAAAACTAAAAAAGCTAATTTCATAGAAGCAGAGAGTACTGGTTGCTAGAGATCAGTAAGAGGAGAGAGAATAGAGAGGCTGAATAACCAATACCAAAATACAGTCATAGGGTATAAACACTACAGCACAGATAGGTGGCAATTATAGTTTACAGCAGTTTATTATATATAAGTGTGTTCTTACAAAAAAAAAAACAGAGTCAAATTGCTGTCTATCACTGAGCTATGTCCCCAAGCCCTAATATATACGTGTGTGTCTGTGTGTGCCACATCCATCACATGCTTACAGAAGCCAGGGCAGGCTGTCAAATGCCCTCCTTTATCACTCTGCACCTTATTTTTGCCTTAAGACAGAGTCTTAGAGTCTTTCATTGAGCTAGAAACTGGATATTTTGGCTAGGCTGGCTGATTCTTCCATCAGTGAGTATAGCGTGGTATTTTGATGTCAGTGGTGCGGTCCAAGTGATACATACATTAGTCACAATGGATTGCTAGTGCTGACTAGAAGCAGAAGGCCATAGTTTATACCTTCCATAATCTTAACTACTCTGAGATTTTTGCAGCTGCTTTCCTGTCTGTGAGTATCTGCTTTATGCTCCATCATAGATCACACTGTGTCTTCCTAGTCCTCCAACACTTCAGTTATTGACTGGAATGGTGGCAGTGCTCAGTGCTCCAGAGAAGTATCGTGAGTGAAAGGCACAGTTACCATGACACCAGCTCCCTTCTCTCAGCCTCCTCCTTGTCCCTCTTGTATTCGTTCTTGTAATTAACTATCATTTACTCCATGGTGCCATTCATACACCAGGGATTGGTTGTAGTGTTTGTCCTATTCCTTCATTTGCTTTGTGGAAGTCATTTCTGAGTTCTGCTTTATGGTCTCATAATTCTCACTGAGTTACTCCAGTAGCCTCCAAGTAGAGGCCTCCATTTGCAGTCTTGGGCATTGCCATTCTCTTTCCTATCATGACCAAACCTGAGTATGTTATTCCCTGCTTAAATAATCTGAGAGTGCTGCAGATATAATTTAAACCAGTTAGCTTAGCATTGAGGCTTTGTCTATACCTCTATATCTTACTGCTCCTTCTCTTACACTGTGATATTGCCTAGCTTCTTTTAGACCTTAATTTCATCATCTGTAAAATGGGGATAATAGTTCCTATTGCATAGAGTATAATAAAACCCTTCAAAACTGTCTCATGCCTCCTTACATGTACATACATTGATTTTGTTGTTGTTGTTGTTGTTTGTTCCTTTTTGTTTTTATATTCACTACTCTTTCTAATATCTACTTATCAATATTCAGGCCAAAGAGCCAAATACTACCATTCCCTGTGCTCTGGCTTCCTGTGTGTCCTAGTTAGGGTCTATTGCTGTGAAGAGACACCATGACCATGGCAACTCTTATAAAGGAAAACATTTAATTGGATGTAGTGAGATATCCAACCCACCCATACCTGTAGCACTGACAACACCCAAATGGGCGTGGTCACAGGTGAGTATGTGATGGAGGATATGACTAGATCTGGGGTCGAGGATCCCAGAGCTCTCTCTTGTGGCTGGTTGGGTCACAGGGAACAGCCTGGGAAGATCCTTGGAGCTGGAACTGTGGCGGTCACCCGCCTCTTGTGTAAGTGCATTCTCCCGAATAAACTTCACTTAACCTGTACTGGGTCTTGTGAATCTTGATTCCCACGCAATATCTGGTGTCAGAAGTGGACCTATGACCCAGACAGCAGCAAGAGCAAGTTCTGGGGTCTGTGACCCCAGATCTAGTCCTGTCCTCTGTCACGGCCTCAGCTGTGACCACGCCTGTTTAGTCACAGCGCTACAGGTATGGTTGGGGTGGATATCTGACGACAATTGGGATGGCTTATTTACAGTTCTAAGGTTCAGTCCAGTATCATCTTGGTGGGATGCATGGCAGTGTGCAGGAAGACATGGTGCTGGTGAAGTTGCTGAGAGTCCTTCATCTTGTAGGCAACAGAAAATGGTCTGAGACACTGGTGATATCCTGATCATAGGAAACCTTAAAGCCCACCCCCACAGTGACACACAACCTCCAATAAGGTCATACCCATTCCAACAAAGTCACACCTCCTGATAGTGTCATTCACTATGAGATTATGGGGACCAATTATATGCAAACTACCACACCATGTGTATCTCACCCGTCCATCTCTCTCTGTCTGGTGACTGGCTCACCTGGGTTTAATGCTATCTCTGCCAGTAACTATCTGGGAGAAGATGGACAAATCATTGACCTTTTGTCATTCTCATCTCCATGAAGGGGTGTAGGACAAATGAGCTCTGGAGTTCCTGATCATCTTCTAGCAGTAAGAAAAGCAGTATGGTAGTCTTAGGAAGTTGTAGAAAATATGAAATAGTATGTACCTCCTAGTCCTCGTTTCCTTTCTTTTCTCTTTTAGAGGTTGTTTTCTTCTGAGAAAGTCATTCACAAGGACTATGGTCTCCCAAACCCCAGCTGGAGCAAGGACCTAAGACTCCTCTTTGACCAGTTCATGAAGAAATGTGAAGATGGCTCCTGGAAACGTTTGCCTTCATACAGACAAAATCCTCAAATCTTTAAAGATTTCCAAACTCGCTTTGTTGGTAAGAACAGCCACTTTCCCGGAAATAATATATGAATATCAATGTAAAGTGTAACACACCGAAGCACTAATTATGACTTAAAGAGAAGGAAGACATGGTAGTTCTCCATGCATATAGTCCCTCTCAGCAGGGTGAGGCAGGAAGACCATGAGCTCACAGCCAGCTGGGGCCACATAGCAAGTTCATGACCATCATGAGCTACATAGTAAGACCCCATTTCAGAGTGGAGAGGAAGGGAAAAGGAGGTGGTGAAAAGCAGAGCAAGTAGGGAATGAAGAAGAAAGAGGAAAGGAGAAATGGGAAGATTAGGGAGAGGGGAAAGAGAGAGAAAAAACGGTACTGGGGTTCTATAGTTCCCAGTTTTATAAGCCAGAAATCTCACTAAATTTTGTAGATTATGGAAGAACACAAAACGTATCAAAAATAAGATGATCCCAACCTGGCGTCTTGAAGCTGACATCACCAGTCTCTTTTCTCTTTATCTCGAAATCTGGCTCCTTCCCTTTGAGAAGATCAGAAAATTTGAATGACTCTCTGTAATTATTGCATTACCCTCTGTAATTACCCTCTGTTACTATTGCTGTGACAAGTTGGGGAGGAAAAGGTTAATTTGCCTTATACTTCCACATTGTAGTCCATCACTGAAGGAAGTCAGAACAGGGACACAAGTGGGTCTAGAACTTGGAGGCAGGAGCAGAAGCCATGGAGGTGTGCTACTTACTGACTTGCTCCCCATGACTTTCTCAGCCTGCTTTCCTATAGAGCCCAGGACCACCAACCCAGGGACGGCACCACCCACAATGGGCTGGGCCCTTCTCCATCAATCACTAATTAAGAAAATGCCTTAAAGACAGATCTTAAAGAGGCATTTCCTTACAGAGGCTCCCTTTCTGATGACTCTAGCTTATGTCAAGTTGACATAAAACTAGCCAGCACACCCTCTGATCTCTCAGACTTAAGTCCAAAGACAACCTACCTCATACCATTGCCAGAAGTTTCTGTACCTCCCCACCCTGCAGCCATTCAATCCCAAATAAACACACAGGGGCTTATATTAATCATAAACTGTTTGGCTGCTGGCTCAGGCTTCTTACTGGCTAGCTCTTCTTAATTATTAACCCATTTCTATTAATCTGTGTATCTCCACGTGGTCTTGGTTTACCAGTGATGCATAGGCCTCTTGCACGTGGCATCTGGCTGTCGACTTCTCTCTGCCTTTCCTCTCCCCAGCATTCTCCTAGTCTGATAGCCCCACCTGTACTTCCTCCCTGGTTACTGGCCAATCAACATTTTGTTAAACCAATACAAGTGACAAATCTTTACAGTGCACAACAGCATTATTCCACATCATACCCAGCACTCAAAAATTATACTTCCTATCATTCTGGGTTGATTGTTTTGTCTTATTTTTAAACACACTTTGTATTAAGTAACTATTTTAATGAACTCTCTGAGGGTTTTATCCTATTTGATGACTTCTAATTAGCCCTCAGTGTTTCCTGACAGCCTGTCTCCTGTTTTCCTAGTCTAGTGACTCTCCTGTCTTCTCTTCTGGATGTCTGCTTCCGGCCTTTCTTTCTGCTCACACCTCTAATTCTTTCCCATTCTCACTCTCAGCAGGTTTTGCTCCCTGTGTAGCTAAATGAAAATAGAAGCCAGCAGAAGAGCATTTCCAGGCTCGGACCACCTCTTGTCCCCTCCTCCCTGTACCTGAGCTTGATCTGCTCCTATCCTCATGAGTGAACTGACCATGGACACAGGACACAGGCACTGTGTTTCCCTCCCTGGACCTGCTCGTGACATTGCTCCCTGCTGCATCTCTCAGCAGCAAGCAGACCTGCCACAACTGTATTGCTCATCCTAATGTCTCAGGAACACAGCAACACACTGCCATCAGACTCCCACAGGGTGTACCCATTTCGTAGTACATAATACTCTTTATCTTTTTAATCCCATTCAATTTTATGGTCTTGGGAGCCACTCAAAAGCTAACTGTTGCTCAATTTAATCTTTGGAACTTAGTGTCCTGGCTTGCTTTCTGTTGCTGTAAACACCATGACTTAAAGCAACTTGGAGAGGGAAGGATTTATTTTGTGTTTACTACTTACAAACCAGTCATGAAGGGAAGCAGGAATTGAATTGGAAGCCACTGAGGAAAGCTACTTTCTGACTTACTCTGGATGGCTTGTTCAGCCTGTTTTCTTATACCACCCAGGACCAAGGGGTATCACCACCCACATAGCCTGGGTCCTCCCAAACCAATCACTAATCAGGTCCCTCAAGCTTGACTATAGGCAGTATGGTGAAGGCTGTCCCTCAGTTAAGGTTTCTGAATGACTTTAGCTTGTGTCAAATTGACAAAATTACTAACTACCACGTTTAGTTCCACACATGTTTAGGTTGAAATTCTGGTTCTACACAGCACAGAAAACTGTGTGAGCTTGGGCAAAGTACTTCAGCTTTCCATGTCTCAGTGTTCTCATGGATGAAGGAAAGAAAGAGACTAAAGTCACATTACTTTAACCAAGAATAGTTGGTCATTTTCAGGTTTCTGTTTAGATTCTTGAGTTTAGAGCCAAGACTTATTCCACCTTATCAAAAAAGGGAAAAAATAGCTTTGAAGTAAGTTACTTTATTAAGTTTTAACTACTAAATTACTTGAAAGTAAATTTTAATGCTGGGTATGGTAGAGGATGTCTCAGACAGGAGGATGAGAGTTTGAGACCATCCTGGGCTACACAGGGAGACCCTGTTCCCACCCCAGTCCACAACATTAACTTTTTAGAGGACTTGACAAGTGTGTACAGAGCCCTGGATCTGATCCCTAACCCTATAAAATAGTGTTTTTTATTAAAATTACTCTGATATCATACAATTCATTGAATGTCTTTAGCCTGATGCAACCTGGCTTCTACCTGCTCAGCTTTGCTGGAATGATCTATACATGGAAACCATTACTGACCCACGTGCCAATTTTGGTGGACATTGTTCATTTTCTAGTGTAAAGTTGGCCTTGTCACCTCTTGTACCTCTGTCAAATCCTTCATCCCACCAAGGATGCCAGTCTCTTATTGTTCCTCTACAGCCTTCAGCTCTGTCCATCCTTGGGCTTTAACCAAATGAGAAACCCCTGGAAATCTTGTTGATTCTGCATCAGTTAAATGGGGGTAGAAGCTCAAATTCTGTTAATAAATTTGTTGTACTTATTTTTCTCATTTTTTATGAGATACCTCACAATTTGATAATCTTGACCAGAATGTTGAACTCTTAAGTTCATTTCAGGAGTCACAATGGTTCTAACCCAAAGATGGTGATTTATTGGACTGAACTATCTCATATCTTCCAAGAAAACCATTTCCTTACTATTGGATTACTCACTCTCACTAAAGTCCACTTAAACCAGACTTATGCCAGAAGAATTTCTCTCTGCACCTGACTGTTTCACTCAGTTTACTGTTAGCATTCAGATTCCATATTCACTGATTCCCATGTGTATGTAGCCACTTTTTTTTACTCTGTCTATGTATGTTTACATGTATGTTTTTGCTATTGTAGAGAGTTTGTGTTCTGTCATATTCTGTTCAGGTATTGTTTTGTTTTGTTTTAGTTTGTTTTGAGACAGGGTTTCATGTAGTCCATACTGGCCTCAAACTCACCATGTAGCCAAGAATGGCCTTGAACTTCTAATCTTTCTGCTTCTACCTACCAAGTGCCAACAAGGCAGTCAGTCATGCACTACCACATACAGTTTTATGTGGTGCTGGGGCTTGGGAGCCCGGGGCTTTGTGCCTGCTGGGCAAGTACTCTGCAATTAAACTGCATCCCTAGCCACTGTGCTGTTTCTTGTGACCTTTCCATTCCTTTCTTTAGCATTTCAATCAGTTATCCATCTACATATGATTTTTGTCAGGATACAGGTGCTTAGTTCTGTCATGGCATTTTCTTTTACTCTCCTGTCCCCATACCCCTATTTCTTTACAGATCCCAGGTTTGCGAAAGAAGAACAAATGTCTAAGGCCCAACAGTTCATCAGAAGCTTTGAGGAAGGCCTGGGCTTTGAATATGTGATGTTCTATAATAAAGCAGAGAAGAGAATGGTTTGCTTGTTTCAATCAGGTCTTCACCTTCAAGGGGTACCTGGGTAAGAACTATCCTAGCAGCATGGAGTTGAGAGAGTTGCTTCTCTTCATAAATATGATTTAACAATAAATACACTGAACATATCCAGGGACTACAAAGACAACATTAAATTGGCAATATAGATACATATTTGTTAATATAGGAAGACATCTATAACACATTAATGAATATTATCTATATTGGTTAAATTTTATAATTTTAACATAATATTAAATGATGCATATAGTACATTATTATAGGACATAGAACAACAGAGTATGATGAACGTTTTTGCAGTAGTTTGGCCATGACTTGATATTAAGGGCCTTAAGGTTTCTTCCTTCTATCTGTATGTACTTCCTAACTTTAAAGGTTACTTTTATTATTATTTTAAATGGTGTGTTTATGTGTGTAGTGTCAGCTCCTCCTGGAGCTGGAGTTGCAAGTGGTTGTGAGCCACCCAGCATGGGTGCTGGGAACTGATTTGGGTGCTCTGCAAGAGTACATGCTCCTTACTACTGAGCCGTGACTCCATCCCCATTTTCTAAACTTTTAAACAAGGGATAGGTATATATACAAGCATAATGTTTCTTAATTACATTTTAGCTTTTTCATGCTGTAATATGATTACTACTCAGCTCCAGTTTTATTACAAGTATCCTTTATGCTGTGAACGAAGTTAAGGATATGAGTATTATTTAACATTATTAAATACACTGAACATGAGGTAAATGTAAAAAGACACTAGAATAGTTTATATCTTGAGGCTATATCATGAACTTCTGAAACTTTCTCTTCTGCTGCTGTTGTGACTAGGTATGTTCATGGAGGTGCCATTGCAACCATCATTGATGTTACTACTGGCACGTGTGCAATTGCCGAGGGAATTGCCATGACTGCCAACCTCAACATCGACTATAAAAAGTAAGTCTGTGACCATTCTCCTTATGTTCTTAAGTCATATTCTCCAGCAGCAGATCCTGAGTTCAAGGTCAGTAAACATTTTCTGTTAATATTTTATATTTGTGATCTGTATAATGTATGACACACTTTTTAACTCAGCCATGAAAGGACAGAAGCTGCTCTAGATAGTACATAAGGATAGCCATGTCCTAGATAGTGCATAACAATAGCCATGTCCTAGATAGTGCATAAGGATAGCTGTGTTCTAGATAGTACATAAGGATAGCCATGTCCTAGATAGTACATAAGGATAGCTATGTTCTAGATAGTGCATAAGGATAGCTGTGTTCTAGATAGTACATAAGGATAGCTGTGTTCTAGATAGTGCATAAGGATAGCTGTGTTCTAGATAGTGCATAAGGATAGCCATGTCCTAGATAGTGCATAAGGATAGCTGTGTCCTAGATAGTGCATAAGGATAGCTGTGTTCTAGATAGTGCATAAGGATAGCCATGTCCTAGATAGTGCATAAGGATAGCCGTGTTCTAGATAGTGCATAAGGATAGCAGTGTTCTAGATAGTGCATAAGGATAGCTGTGTCCTAGATAGTACATAAGGATAGCCATGTCCTAGATAGTGTATAAGGATAGCTGTGTTCTATATAGTGCATAAGGATAGCTGTGTTCTAGATAGTGCATAAGGATAGCCGTGTTCTAGATAGTGCATAAGGATAGCCGTGTTCTAGATAGTGCATAAGGATAGCCGTGTTCTAGATAGTGCATAAGGATAGC